TAAAAATGATAATTCTTTGCAAAATTCCATTAATTTCTTTTTTTTTTAAACATTTTATTTATTTGTCAGAGAGAGAGCACAAGCAGGGAGAGCCGCAGGCAGAGGGAGAGGCGGGCTCCCCACTGAACAAGGAGTCTGATGCAGGACTTGATCCCAGGACCCTGGAATCATGACCCAAGCTGAAGGCAGATGCTTAACCGACTGAGCCACCCTTGTGTCCCCATTAATTTCTGTTGTATATGTGCCTGACCCTTCCTATCGCCTGATTCACTTTTCTCTTTCTGCACTCAATTCTGTCAGAACTTAGTGATTTCCCAAAGGAAGGGATGCAGGATGGACAAAACCATTCTATATCTGTTGCACCATTCTCAGGCTGTGAGAAATCTATTTCTGAAGTCTGATGGGGAAGAAAAATGTTGCATCTGTCTTTGAAAAAATAAGTGGAACATTACCTTTGACAAGAAACATCCTAATCAAAAGGCTTTAACCCAAGAACTCAGAAAGATGCCTTTGTCAAGTTTTCTCTCTTCTCGCTTTAAGTAGGGAGGCTGGGTCACGTAAGTGATTTTAAAAAGTAAACCGAAATATTCCTCATGATTAGCAAAAAGCAATACGGAAATAATTTTCATCCTATTTTCTGGAGAAAACAAAGCTAAAGAAAGCTATCTAAAAAGAGCTGGTATATTAGGGGAAAATATGACAGATTCTATTATTTGAAGAAAAAGGTTTGAGCATAGTTAAGGGACTTTAGAAGAAACTGTAGAATCATGTTCCCTGGGATACCTGACAAATTTATGCCATCCAACTGATCTTCAGTGACATCACAGTAAGTAAGAGTATGCATGAATTTTGGTCAGACTGATAAGGGATCCAATACCAGCTTTAACACTTTCTACGGCAATTTGAAAAACCTATCTGCATTCCAGTTTCCTCACTTGTAAAATGAAGATGATAATATCTCAAAGGATTGTTGAGACAGATAGATGAGAAAATGTAACACAAATAGTAGCACCTAACAACACATAGTGCAAAAACACTTGAATGTTAAATTTTATTATTCCTGATTTGATTCCTAGTAGAGATATAACACTGGCCACAAAAACTGTTAATATTTAGGATCAGGTGTGACTGTAATAAAAAAAAAAAAACAAATAAAAGAAGCTTAAATACAATTTTCTCGGGGCGCCTGGGTGGCTCAGTTGTTAAGCGTCTCTCCCTCTCCCACTCCCCCTGCTTGTGTTCCCTCTCTTGCTGTGTCTCTCTCTGTCAAATAAATAAACAAATAAATAAATAATCTTTTAAAAAATAAATAAAAGTTTCTCTTTCACAAAAATCCAGGTCAGGATAGGCAAGGTTTGGTATGGCAATTCTGCTCTAAAAAGCCCGCATAAACCTTCCATGTCTATCTTTGCCCTCCTTAGTATGTGGCCGTTGTCTTCATGGTCCAAGATAGTGGCCTTTGCATCCTTGTTTCCTGTGGTCAAACGAAGTTAAGTGTAGAAGAACTGGCAAAAGGAAAGCTGCAGCAGTCTCTTAAGGTTCTTGAAAGCTTATATCTCATTGGCCAGAACATCAGTCATATGGCCACAGTGGGCTGCAAGAGAGGCTGGGAAATGTAGTCTTTATTTTATTTCTAAGTGAGAAAGAAACCATAGATACTGAAGGATAATCTGTAATCCTTGTCACAGTCAGCAACTGTTTCAAACTATCTTTATTATCCTCAAGTTTCCCAAAGTCACCTTTTGTTCTCCCACCTTTTTTTCTATCTTTCTTCTTCTCCATTGAATTTTTTTCCTGCCTTAGTATTTGTAAGCCTATATATTTTCCGTTCCACTTTTCTTTCCACCTTTATTTCTCATTGTGTCTGTTGTGTATGTGATGAGCATTCCTATTATTTTTCTGCTACTTTGCATTTACTAAGGTTGAACTTTGTGCATAGAATGTCATTTTCTACAGGTTTATAAGTCCAAGACTTCACTCTCATTCAAAGTTCAAATGTAAATTATTCAGAAAAGGGCTCCTAGAAGCTTCAGTTTGAAACTGTTCTCTCTAGGTCTTCTGTAGCCTTGTACCTCAGGCTGCCTCATATTAGATCTCCTTATGCATATTTCCATTCTCCTCAGGATGTGTGTTCAAGGAGATCAAAATCTGTATCTTACACAGCCTCATATCTCCTTCTAGAATAGTACTCTGCACATTTTAAGTATTTGATTAGTTATGTATTATATAGAACTGGATAATATTCTTTAAATCCATCCACAATTGTTACTGTAAATGATCAAATGTTTTATAATACCTATATAAAGAGCTGTGTGCTATAAATTAGTTTCTGAAATTTTATGAGAATTTTATAATCGAATCATTGTAAAATATATTTGGGGACCACAAATTATAACTCTAACATAAATTCTTCTATAAAGCCAACTCTTCACTCTTCCTCCAATTTAAATATTTTCCAGTATGGATTTCCAAATGCCTACTTTCCTTAGAGTGAGTACCATTATACTTGCCTCAAAAAAACATTTTTTCAAATGTAGATATATGACTTTTTAAGAATCAGATTTATTGAGATAATTTATATACAATAAAATTCACACTTTCTCAAGCATACAGGTCTATACTCGTTAATTTTACTAGTTAATTTTCTAAGATTATTACAAATTTGAAGCTATTATCTACTTTCTACATCTCTGGCTTATAATTTTAGTGATCTCCGAATATGTTCTAGGGACAGAACAGTAGAAATCTCTTAACTGAAAGGAAACTACTTGGAAATCTTTAATACCAAATGAACTGTTAAAACTATGCTTTATATGATGAGGGAAATAAAATCTCCAATAATGCTTTTAAAACTTAGTTTCCTAATCATTTTTAAAATTTTATGCTTTTCCAGAAAGCTATGGTAGGAAAAAACCATAACAGGTACATTTTTTTGGTAATAGCTTTATAGGTTGATTAACACAGTATAACATATTTTTAGACTGAAGAACTGAAAGAAAATATAAAATGATATATACTAATTACAGTTGCCATAAAATCATATATGTACATGGCAAAATATATAATTACCTTAGCTCTGATAGTATGCTTTTTATACATAGAGGCAAATACTGAAAGGGTTGACAAGATGCTTTTTGATGCAAAATGTAGAAAAAATGCAAGAATTATAAATACTTCAGCTAGATCTAATCTCTTTTACTCAAATAGGCATATTCCATTTAGTCTAGGGTCAATATGTCTAGAAATTATAATAAAAGCTGAATACTGGACTAGTATCTAAAAAGTTCTCCCTCTATTGGGTATTCTGAATTATAAGCAGGTATAAGTGTTCAAGTTCATATGGAAACATGATAGTGGCTTTTCCTGAGGACTAATAGTTGTGTTCAAATGATAATATGGTGCCATTTTCTTGTTCTTTTTATATAGCACTTTTCAAAAACTAGAAAATGATGTAAACTTTCATTGGTGGAACTCTGTAGTTCCGCCTCTAGCTAAATTTCTTTGTGGTCCCCCGAAGGAGCATATCTTTCCCTCAACGTTCACCATCTTTCCATTTTCTTAACTGGCTGTCCCAAACCCCTCATGCAGCTTTGCTTTTCCCAAGTCTGCTCTCACTGTGGCAGGCTCCAGATGCTTGCCTCCTCTAAATTAAAATTTTAACTATCAGCTTGGAAAGTAACCAGATAAATTAAATCCCCCAACCTTTTACTGAGTAAGAAAAGCTCAAAAGGTCATCTCCCTGAGGTGTTTGAATTAAAAAAAAAAAGAACTCTTTAGGTACAAAGTCTTCATTCAAGGTAATGAAGTTCTATTTGTAGAATTTAAAGCTCAGTGTCAGGTATGATTGACCTTGTGGGGGATATTGGACTTCTTCAATGTCCTTTAAGTCAAATGCATTCAGTCCATTCCCTTTCTCTTGTCAGGATATTAAAATAAAGCTATCTGTAGGAATAGTACATATCCTAGCTTTAAAAAATTTTTTTAAAGATTTTATTTATTTATTTGAGAGAGAGAGAGAGAGAGAGCATGAGCAGTGGGGAGGAGCAGAGGGAGAGGGAGAAGCAGGTTCCCCACTGAGCAGGGAGCCCAAAGTAGGGGGCTCCATCCCAGGACCCTGAGATCATGACCTTAACTGAAGGCAGAGCCACCCAGGCACCCCTTAAATTTTTTAAAAAAGCTTTCATCACAATTTCCTTTTCATAAAGCGTTTTGATCAATCCAATGATAGCTTATTTAGTCTTAGAATTTTTTTTGAAGGTGGCAGAACATTTTGTCATTCACTTAAAATTAATGAATGTAATAGAAAGATTAACACATGGAAAGAAATTAAGGGCAGAAATGATCAAAGCAGTGTGAATCCTCTTGGCTAGAACTCCTCAAGCCAATTACCTAAGTCCTTGATTCCGTCACTTTTGGAACCAAGTTTAATACATTTGTCTTGAGGGAGTAGTCTTGGAGTGTGGCCGCGAAGAAACCGATCAGGAAAAAAAACCCAAAAAACAATGAGATGGAAAAGTAGAATGTTTCCAAGAAGGGGTGGGATTTAGGGTGGAGGCCAGAAAAAAATGCGATCGTTCCTTCATTCACTGAACATTTATTTTTTGCCTCCCTCATGCCATGGCCTATTTAGAGTCTTCTCCGGATGGATGCCACTAGTCGACAAATTCCGGATTCCGATTATCTCAGGAACCTGAGTTGCCCTCACTTCCGACCTCCTCTCTCACAAACTGCCTTGAGGCAGGGGAGTAGGGATGGGATGGGGAGGATGCGAGAGGCGATGCCCGCCTCGCGGAGCACAACATCTGCTGTGTTCAGCCGGGAGCGTCTGTCAAGCAGTGGGAGGAAGAAGCTTGGAGCCACCAGCCCACTCTGAGGCGAAAGTCGCCTGAAACGCTCCCCTCCCGCCCTCCGGGCTTCTGCTGGTTTCTTTAGGGAGGTGGTGCGGAAAGGCAACTTTTGGGAACTTGCAGGAGAGGGGTGGGGGGTGAAGAGGAGCGAGCATGGAAATGCCACCCCACTCGGTCCCGGCGGAGGACCCCCATGCCGGGATCAGACACAGTGGGCGCGCAGGGCAGGATCTGGGGCGGGAGTCCGGTCCCAAGCGCGCGGCGGCAGCGGCCAAGCCGAGTGGGGCGGGCGAGGGCCCCCCAGGCGCAGTTCCCCGTCCGGCCTCGCGGGGGCGCCGGCGCGGCCGATCAGGTGACCGAGCGCTCGTCCTGGGCTGCGGGAAGCTGCCTCGTTCTCAGCCGCCGGAGACGCCGCCGCCGCCGCCACACCTAGTGGAGGAGCCGGGGAAGGCGGCTCGGTGGGGGCTGGGGCGGAGAGCGCCGGGGGTGGGGACGGAAGGGCGGCGGGCGGAAGGCAGGAGGCTGCCGGGGCGCGGGCTGCTGCGGGGGAAGGGACCGTGAGGCGTCTGCCGCGGTTCGCTCTGTCAGCCGCGCGGGATTGGGGCGCGAGGGTCATGGACGTTTTCCCCTGAGACGGAGGTCGCGGGCTGGGGGCGGGGGGAGGAGGCCCGAGAGAGGTTGACGCGGAGGCCGCGGGCCGGTGACTGGGCGCGAGGCGGCCGGCGGCGGCGGCGGCGGCGGCACCACCACCACCACCACCACCACCACCTCCACAGCCACCACCATGTCGCGCTCCGTGCTGCAGCCCAGTCAGCAGAAGCTGGCAGAGAAGCTCACCATCCTCAACGACCGGGGCGTCGGCATGCTGACTCGCCTCTACAACATCAAAAAGGTGCGCACGGGCCGGCGAGGCCGCGGCTGGGGCGGCGGGCGGGCGTAGGACTGACGGGCGGCGGGGCAAAACCGGGGGTGGGGGCAGCGGGCGGCGCCCACGGCAGAAATCACGGCACTGCCGCGTCAGGCCCGGCCCGGGGTCGCTGAGATGCGCCGCGGCCTAATGCGGAGTCCCGGCGCCTCCCCCGGTGGCTGGCGGGCCGGCCGGAGGCAGAGAGAAGCCATTTCCCCGCTCCCAGCGGTGGGATCCGGCCCGGCCCGCACCGGGTGAGGGGCGCCCCTGCCGCCCCCTCCTTGGCGCCCTCGCCCCCGGAACGGGGTCAACTGGATAGGGAGGGTAGAGGGTGGGCAAGATGGGGACGGGGAGAGCATAGGAAAACTTGGGTGTTCATAACTGAGGCTGAATGGTAGGAATCTGGCGGAGATGGTAGCGATTTTTTCTCAATTTTTTGATGTGTGAATGTGGGAAGGGAATTGCTCATCAGGATGAACCCCGCATCTCCTCCACTTGCCACTTTATTTTAGATTGCTAAATAAAAGTCGTTTGAGAGCATGCTGACAATTTGGAATTATTTCATTTTGAGGGTGGAGAGGAGGGGGAAGTGAGGGTGGAACTAATTTTCTTCTGAAATACTTCTGGGCTGTGAGTCACTAGAACAGGAATAACAACCTTCTCTCCCATCCCTCTTTACTCCTCCTCATCTTAGTTTTTCCAGCCTTGTCTAATAGTACCGAAACACCATTTCTTGAAGTTCGGTGTCGGTACAAAATTAAAACTGTAAATATGTTGCTATTATTGCTGGTTTATAACATATAAGGAAAATTTGTGTAGTTGTAGCTAATAGGCCCATTGAAAGTCTTTAAATGGCTTCAGCAGATTAAGAAATGGAAGGCTGACTTGGAGTTAAAAATAGATGTAAAGATAGAATAAATACTGTATCTTAAGAGAAAACAAACCAATTTTTTTTTTGCTTTTAAGGCAAGGTTAGTAAGTTTCAAAGAACTTGGTAAAGAGAAAATTAAAGAGATTTTTGGGTACATCCTTTGAGTTTCCAATGTGTATGTGATGTTATGCCTTCATAATTATTTTGTTGGCTTTTTAATATATCATGAATATTTCCTTTAGCATGACCATAGTAGAATTATAACGTGTGTAAATTAGGGCTGCTGACGAAGTAATATTTTTTTTAAGTCCATATAATGAGGTTCAAGTATAAAACTGATTTATTCCAACAATTTGATGTGGATACTGTAATCTTAAAGGAGAAGACTGTCCTGGCTTAATAGTGATAAATTTTGTATAAGGATGGTTTATGTTCCTGTTGCTTACCTGGATGCAAGATTAGTTTGCCTCTAAACACAGTAAAATGTGGAGAGTAACTGCAACGTGTCTATTCAGTTTGTTACATCTTATGTGGCAGGAGCTCAGTATCATTACAAAGAAGCCTTCTGCATTTACCAGAGCCTTGGTTATAAATTTATGTAGTTGCAAAGAACTTAATTTTGATAGTATTACTTACAGGTTGTATTGACCTGAACTTTTTTGTGAGATTATGCTTCTTAACAAACTTTGAAATTGGTTCCTATATGAACTTTGTCCAAAAAAACAAGGAAGGCAAGCAGTACTAAAAATTACTAGACCTGTGGTATTGTGGTTAAAGGAAATGGTTATGATGGTTTTCAGAAGAGGAAGTGAGAGTAACATCAAAAGTGATTTGGGTATTTGAGCACAATGCTTTTTTAAGCATGCATTTAAACATTTTTATGGTATAAATACAACCAAACTTTACCTATTCCACCTTCATAAAGTACATAAGATTAAACCAAATTTTAGGCATTTCACCTCATTATTTCAGTTCACTGCCTTAAAAGCAGATTTTTTTCACTTCCTGTTTTGAGAAACTTCAGGCTCTTGTATTACTGAGCTAGTGAAATTTAAAATGAGTTTAATGTGATTATTATATCTAAGTGTCAAATATTTTGAGTTATTGAAATGTTATATTTCAGCACTTAACACATATTTAGAGTTTGTTGAGAACTATTTTGTCTACCTTGCCTGATTGTGAGTTCCCTCTGGGCAGGGAGAGTGTTACTCATTTTTGAATTACTAGTACTCAGGGCCTTACCTGCTTCACGAAGGTTTCCGTTAAGTCTTGTTGAATGGATGAATACACAATTTATGTTATATGTATGTATTTAACATATGAGTGTGTGTATAATCTTGCTCTAGTTTTAATAATAGCTTTTGGGTTGCTCTCCTTGTGTAATTTTGCATACAAATGCATCAGATAGATTTTGAATCTTTTAGCCTATAGAGTTGTCTATAAGACTGACATATCTTCCTGGCTGGGTAGGGATTGAAACATTTGTTCAAAAATCTTGCCAAAAAAAGTGAGTAAGATTCGTTCACCATGTGTTTATAAGGTTCATGCATTCTGCATTTTTACGACAGTATAAGCTACCTAATCTTTTAAATCCTAATCTCTTACAGTCCTCAAAAAAAAAATTTCCACTACATAATACATGTCCACCAATCAATTATCACCTTTTTATTAATGCATGTGTGCATCAGATTGTCAGATTCGATTGCTCTGTTTCAATTGGAAGTCTGCATGGAAATATTTTAGTGAGCATACACAATGAAAATACTTAAGTGACTTGAGTAAAATAACTTAGTAAGTTACTGTAATCAAAAATAATATGCTTTAATGCTTATTATAGGAATGTAACATGATTATTGAAAATGTTTTGCTTTTTTAAAAAAAATTTCATCAGTCAAAAAATTTTTGACATCTTAATATGTACAGATTATGGAAATTTTAAGGAATTTTTTTTTAAAGATTTTATTTATTTATTTGAGACAGAGAGAATGAGAGAGAGAGAGAGAGAGCACATGAGAGGGGGGAGGGTCAGAGGGAGAAGCAGACTCCCTGCCGAGCAGGGAGCCCGATGCGGGACTCGATCCAGGGACTCCAGGATCATGACCTGAGCCGAAGGCAGTCGCTTAACCAACTGAGCCACCCAGGCGCCCAGGAATTTGTAGACTAATCAGGGCTGTGAGAACACATGAAGAAGGAGGGTTTTAGGGAAAAGACATGAAGGTGGTAGGTAGTTTTACATTTAAATTTATTTGTTTCTTGAATCCTTAAAAATTCTGTTTTTTATTGAAAATATGTCTTTTTCCAGACCTGATAATACCACTCACTTATATGTTGATTTTTAACATTTTCGAAGCTCCTTTTATATCTGTTACTGTGGCATGGCAGGCAGTGTCATTGTGGAATGGAGTATGGGGCCAGAATTTAGGAGAACTGCATTACAGTCTTCAGTCTGTCACTAAGAGTTTTGTAACATGGGGAGGTGTCTTGACTTCCATGAACTTCATTTTTTCCTCGTCTGTAAAACAGGGGAAAATTAATTGTAAAACGAATGCTAAAGTCCATTCTAGCTCTGATTATCTTATCTTTACAAGTAGAAGTCATAGCCCATTTTAAACAGTAACAACTCAGTTTTCTATAATACAGAGATGGTAATCCCTTCTCTGCCTACATCACGGGATTGTTTATGAAGATAAAAGATAATGATAATGTGAAAATAGTTTAAAACCTCTGTGAATATTTAGGAGTCTCAGCAACTTTTTTGGGGCATTTGTTTTTTCGAAATTTTACTGCTATTAGCAAACACATTCGCAAATACCAAAACATTTTTGCTGAGTTCAGAAAATATATCTATTTTGTTTTTTGTTTCCTTTCTTTTCCTACCTGTCACCAACATGAGTATGATAATTCTGTACCAAAAAGATCTCATTTAATACTGGAATAATTTTTCTTGTTACATTATTGCCTTAATTCTAAAGGACAGAAAGGAAGAAAAGACCCACCCAGCCATTGTAAACTCTTTTTGAATGGCATCTGTTTGCAGATTTCAATGCTCTTTTGTTTTAAAAATTTTTTTACTTATTAGAGGCTATTTTTCTTTTTTTTTTTATAGTCTTTTCCCCATGATTTTGGATATATTTATTTTATGAGGAAAAAATGGGTAGAATAGCAGTGTAAAAAATTGAAAGTCCTTAGCTGGTATCTGCTTATTTAATGGAGGAAAAAAAGAGTGCATGGGAAGTGTGTAAGTGCAAGGTGAAGGGAGGGGACCAGCTTTAGTTTTCTCTTTCAGTGTTATGTTTCTCTTCATTTAGGGCATTATTTTCTCTGTTCCTCAGTCAGGAGAAGAAACATGCTCCAAAGATTGGTTTGTAGCAAATTGTAGACTAATAAGTATTATTAATATGAGATTTTTCTCCTCAGTGGGGTTTCATTATTAAAAGCCTTAAACATGGTAAGAAGTCAACATCTCTCCATAAATCTGAATTAAAGAATATATATTATTTAAACAGATCCTATCATGTCTATTTGTAACTTTATTTTTCAGGAGAGCTGCTTGTAAAAATGAGGATTTGATAATTTTTTTTCTTGTTATGTTGGATGGGAGGCTGAGGAGATAAAGATCACTGAAAAATACTTAGGAAAAAATTACTTTTATTTTTTCAAGTGGCAATGATAGATTATCCTTTGTGGATTAGTTAAATAACATAAATATTAAGCATTTTTAATGATTACAAAAGGAATACATGTTTACTATCAGAAACTCAAATATAAGAGAATTGTGTCACTTCAGAAATTCTTTGTCTGCCCTTCTCCCACTTTTAAAAATAAGCCTTATGTACTTATACCCTTTTCTGTACAAATGCTAACGTGTGCATGCGTATTTTATTATATTTTGATTAAATTGGACTCTTCACAAAAATAAAATTGAAGCAGCATGGTGCAGTTTACATATAAATGAAATTAGGGTTCTTAATCTATTGCTTGTATACT